AGAGCCAAAGGTGTGCGCAACTCTCAACAAGGTCGTTGACCCGACCTTTTATACGAACAAGGTCGTGCGCCAAGTTCGTTCATTTCGGAGTCTGCGCAGAAAGACTCGTTATTCATAAGAATCTCGTCTGCTCCTTGAGACGTTACAGCTTTAATCTTACTTATTGTTTGATTGCTCATGTTTAGTTGGCATTTGCAGAGGAGGTCTTTAATAAAAACATATGACAATTTTTATATAATTAAAAGGAAAATAAAATATATACAAGATTTTAAATACGAAAGGAGATAGAAATACGCTGGCTAGCCAACCAGGCTCTGGCGCCAAACAACTATACACCGTTTTCTGTCGCCAGCTTTCAGAAATACGTTGTTTGCAGCGTTACTCCAGGTGTTTCCGGGCTGAAAGTTGGTATACAGAATCATATTATCCTCCTCCTCAGTAAAGACTACAGCAAGGTGTCCGCGTTCACTCGTCAGCGTCTTCTGCAGGCAGGTCCTCTGCAGCGTCGCCTTCTGCGCCATCTATAATCGTTCGTTACGGCCAGGCGCCAGGGATAGTCAGGGGGGGGACTAGTAAGAAATAGGTTACGAAGCCTGACACAGAGGCGAGAGCGGCAGGTAGGAAGCTGGGACGTCAGCTCGCTACATCTCTCTCTCTCTCTCTCTCTTTCTTTCTCTCTCTCTCTCTCACACACACACACACACACTCACTTATATGTATATCTATCTATATATCTATATATCTATATATCTATCTATCTATCTATCTATATCTATCTATCTATCTATCTATCTATCTATCTATCTATCTATCTATCTATCTATCTATCTATATATATATATATATATATATATATATATATATATATATGTATACATATATATACATCCACACACACATGCATACATACATACATATATACATAGATATATACATTTATATATATATATATATATATATATATATATATATATATATATATATATGTGTGTGTGTGTGTGTGTGTGTGTGTGTGTGTGTGTGTGTGTGTGTGTGTGTGTGTGTGAGTGTGTGTGTGTGTGTGTGTGTGTGTGTGTGTGTGTGTGTGTGTGTGTGTGTGTGAGTGTGTGTGTGTGTGTGTATATGTGTGTGTGAGTGTGTGTGTGTGTGTGTATGTGTGTGTGTGTGTGTGTCTGTGTGTGAGTGTGTGTGTGTGTGTGTGTGTGTGTGTGTGTGTGTGTGTGTGTGTGAGTGTGTGTGTATGTGTGTATGTGTGGTGTGTGTGTGTGTGTGTGTAGCATTGTTTTTGTCTATATATCTGTTTTGAAAAGTTACAAAGAAACAGTTTGTGAATGATAAGCTGATTGACCTGCCGGAAACCCATCCTGTTTACAGTCGAGGCAGCGATTCGATGATTATTATCATCATTTCCATGCATCCCTCCATATCAGTGTATCTGTTTATATATCCAACCATACATATGCTTATCTATCGTATTTGCTTATAATTCATTTTGAAGCCATACACTATGTGATGCTTGCCTTTTTCAGTAGAGACAATTTTTTTTTAGACATACCCTTCGGGAAAATACGAACGTGCTCAGAGTGTGATTGTGGAATCAGCATATATTATATGCATCTTATACAACTTATATAATCTAAAGGTAAAACTTGCACAATGCTACTGATAATGATTTACAAGAAACAATTTGTTTACACGTGATATTCTGGTGTTGCGTCAATAGCCACTTTCGACCACAACATCCGGACGTGACAAAATATATGATATCACTCTCGGTCTTCCCTCTTGTTCTCTACAAATTTCCTTTATGCATGGCAAACGTGGCTCAGATATGGAGGGTTCTACTTTTCACCCAGATGGATCCATAGACTCCAAAGCAATCCCGTGAGAATCAAATTCGGATTAACAGGGCTGTGGGTGCTATGATCTCATTTCAGCCTCAGAGGTATCTGAGGAAAAGATAAAAACGAAGAGGATTCTAACATTATATTAATAAAAATCACAAAATCACAAAGAGTGAAATCCACACACGTGCACACACACACACACACTCACACACACACTTCTTGGTTGTCTGCCGCGTGGCAGGTTCAGCGCCACACACGCCATCCATCCCGATCTTTATCCCTGCGCTTGATCTCTTTCGCCAGTGATTGAACGCCATTCTCTTCCTTCCCTTTTTGCTATTTTTACCGATTGGCCTCCCTTCGATGACATCCCTTACCAGTCCCTGATGCCTCGTAACGTGACCGATCCACTTCTTCTGCCGGTTATAGATAGTCGAGGTCAGTGTTCGTCTTTCTCCAATCCTTCACAATACTTCCTCATTTGTCACTCTTTCTGTCCGACTTATCTTCTCCATTCTTCTCCAAGACCACATCTCCACACTTTGCAATCTCCTGATATCTTCCTTTTTCAGTGTCCACGACTCTGAGCCGTACAAAAGTACACTCCAACCAAGGTCTTATTCATCCTCTTTTTCAACCTTACTTTGAACTCCTTCGTTAGCAGCTCTCTTCTCGAGTTAAAGGCAACCTTTGCTAGCCCAATCCGCGATCTTATCTCTGTATTGCAATAACCGTTGCTAGTTGAAATACTCCCGAGGTATTTGAAGCTTTTAACTTGTTCCAGATTTTTATCGTTCAGTTTGATCGTGACGCCACCTTCACCGTTCTCGTTGATCCTCATCACCTTTATTTTCGTAACCCCTTCTCCGAATCTGCTCCCATGGCCTGGTCATCCGCAAATCGCACTGTTTTTACTTTCACTCCCTCTTCACTATTCTCTCGTGATGTTCTGATCAATACTTCCGCAAATGCATTGAAAAGAGAAGATGACATCAAGCACCCCTGATGCACCCTTCTACCAATCACTGCTGGTTTCGACTCTCCGTCGTTTTATCTTCTATCTCTCCAATCTACACCAACATTTTTGAGAATTTCCATAAGTTTTTTGACTCGGTCGAAAGCTTTCTTAAAGTCCACGAACGATAC